AAATGTCCATCAGTGACAGACTGGATTTAGAAAATGTACATATACACCACGGAACACTATGCAGCCATAAAAAAAGATGAGTTTGTGTCCTTTGTAGGGACATGGATGCAGCTGGAAACCATCATTCTCAGTAAACTATCGCAAGAACAGAAAACGAAATACCGCATGTTCTCACTCATAGGTGGGAACTGAACAATGAGATCACTTGGACACAGGAAGGGGAGCATCACACACCGGGTCCTATTGCAGGGAGGGGGTAGGGGGGAGGGATAGCATTAGGAGATATATCTAATGTAAATGATGAGTTAATGGGTGCAGCACACCAACATGGCACATGTATACATATGTAACAAACCTGCACGTTGTGCACATGTACCCTAGGACTTAAAGTATAATAAAAAAAAATATATGTATTTGAAAAAGAAAACTATGTCACCCAAGCAGCAGCTAGTCAACACTTCCCACATTTCTATACAGAGAATAAGATAAAGTTCTGTGTGTGTGTGTGTGTGTATTTTTATAAATTTAGTTAATAAAGATTTACACATTTGTAAAAGAGGGCTTCCATGGGCCATGCATATGTTCATTCATTTGTTCTACTTATTAGGAGAAAGAAGACCTGAATTATAAGTTGTGACACGTGAGAATAAAGGGAGAAGCAGGTGAAAATCATTCTTCTGGAAGGACAAAAATATTGTGTGAAAGACCATTAAAACAATTGGCCATTATCAAGTGTTCTTTTCATAGAATTGATGTTAAATATTTGTCAGATAATTTTTGGGCCCAAAGAGGGGACCAGAATTCTTAGAACCTGCCAGCAATGCTTATTCTGTGTGGGTATTTTTGTTTGTTTGTGCTTTGGTTTGGATGTTGAGTTTAATGACACCTCACATGCACTGAGAGGATATAAAAAGGTTTCTTATTAACATGAAGAATCTTTCTGTGGAGAATAGGGCAGGCTCCCAAGCTGGTCTGAAAATGGTCTTGAGAGAGCAGGGAAAAAGGCCTGGGATTTATGGTGCTTACAAGCTGGGCCTGGAGGGTAGGTTCCTATGTATAGCCTGAGGCTTGTGTGATTTGAACTTCCCATTGACACTAAAAAAGACAGCACTTAGGCTTTCCTATCAATTTACCTAGATGTTGGGCAGAAGGGGAGGCGCGAAGAGTGCAGCATGAAAGATGTCATGATGTCAAACATCAAAATGGAGTCAGAGTTTATGACAATTTTTCTCGATCTGATCCAGTTTATTTCAATCTCATTATATAAACAACACAGTTAATCCTATTTTTCAAAGAAATTTATGTGCGTATGGGGGTACTGTGAATATTAATAAGAAATTGGACAATTTAACTTTCAAGGTTTAAGAAGATTCTTTACACAAGCTTTGAGATTTGTTACACACATAGATATTTAATATCAGAAAAGTAAAAATCATGTACTACTCAAATAATCATTCTCTTACTGTCAGGCAGAGTCCTTGACCGTCCTTGGTGTAAGAAATCTCCATGGAATAAAAGTTGGAATGTATGCTGAAGTTAAAAAACTAAAACATGCTATTCAAAAACAGTATCCTCACAGTAATTTTATATCTTTTTATTTGTATTTATTTGTTTATTTTTTGAGACCGAGTTTTGCTCTGTTGCCCAGGCTAGAGTGCAGTGGCGTGATCTGTGCTCACTGCAACCTCTGCCTCCTGGGTTCAAGCAATTCTCCTGCCTCAACCTCCCAAGCAGCAAGCATGCACCACTATGCCCAGCTAATTTGTGCATTCTTAGTAGACACTGGGGTTCAGAATGTTGGCTGGAACTCCTGCTCTTGAACCCCTGACCTCAGGTGATCCACCCACTTTGGCCTTCCAAAGTGTTGGGATTACAGGCCTGAGCCACTGCCCCTGGCCCTGACAGTAATTTTAAACATGAAAAATATAACATAGGTTTGTTCTTTTCTTTTCTTTTCTTTTTTCTTTTTTTGAGATGGAGTTTTGTTCTTGTTGCCCATGCTGGGGTGTAATGGTGCGATCTCAGCTCACTGCAACCTACGCTTCCTGGGTTCACACGATCCTCCTGCCTCAACCACCAGAGTAGCTGGGATTACAGGCATGTGCCACCACACCCAGCTAATTTTGTATTTTTAGTAGAGATGGGGTTTCACCATGTTGGTCAGGCTGGTGTCGAACTTCCGACCTCAGGTAATCCACCTGCCTCAGCCTCCCAAAGTGCTGGGATTACAGGCATGAGCCACCGTACCCAGCCTCATTTTCTATTTTAAAAATTTTGTTATAAGAACACAATATGAGGCTATGGGTAGACGCTCTTAGATTTCTAAGTGTACAATACAGTACTGTTATATGTAGGCACAATATAGCAAACTTCTAAAAATTATTCATCTTGCATAGGTGAAATTTTATACCTGTTGATTAGCAATTTTCCATTCTCCCTTCCCTCAGCCCCTGGAAACCACAATTTTATTCTTTTTATTGGACACCTAATGTATGTCAGGCTCCAGAGTCTTGGCAAGTTGCAAAGTCCTTAAGTAGTTGATAGGCAATTTAAAACAAGTACAGCATAAGCTCTCCAGTCATTTAATGTTTAATTTAGGGACTGGAACATTTGAGAAATAATATGTATTTCATTTTACCTCTCCTGTCTGCCATACCTGCATAACACATTAGAAATTGGCAGAAAATTGATAAGGAGAAAATGAACTCCAGGATGTGCTTTTCATCTCAAGTACTAAAAGTCATCACAGTTTGGGGCTCAGGGGATATGTGTTATCTCCCACAGAATGGAAAAAATGTTCAGAATCTTCAGATCTTATAGTTGGAATGAATCAGCTAGGCACTGTGGTATGCACCTGTAGTCCCAGCTACTGGGGAGTCTGAGGCAGGAAGATCGCTTGAGCTCAGGAGTTCAAGGCTGTAGTATGCTATAATCAGGCCTACAAATATCACTGTATTCCAGCCTGGGCCACATAGTGAGACTCCGTCTCCAAAAAAAAAAAAAAAAAAAAAAGGAATCAAAGTGTGTCATTTTGTTCAAAATTCTAACTGATGTAAACCACTTTGTACACTATCCCTGCAGCTGGTCATCAGATATCCAACATTAATATTTCTAGTAACAGGTTTTCACTACTTGCAAGACAGGTCACTTGGTTACTTGTCAAAGTAGAAAAATTTTCTCTTTCCTTAGCTTCAATGGAATCTATCATTCTTATTATCAAGCTATTTCTCTGGATAATCTTTCTGATTCTTCTTTGATGGTACTGTAAACCCAAAAAATTAGTAACAGGTCTCACTTAATTTAGAAAGTTTATTTTGCCAAGGTTAACACAGCCTCAGGAAGTACTGGCGACACGTGCCCAAGGTGTTTGGGGCACAGCTTGGTTTTATACATTTTAGAGAGACATGAGACATTAATCAATAGATGTAACAAGTACATTGATTCTTTCCAGAAAGGCAGGGACAACTTAAAGCAGGGAGGGACTTTCAGGTCACAGGTAGGTAAGAGACAAATGGTTGCATTCTTTTGAGATTCGTTTGATATTGTGAATCAGAATATGCATCTATCTCAGTGAGCAGAAGGATGAGTTTGAATAGAATAGAAGGCAGGTTTGCTCTGAGCAGTTTCCAGCTTGAATTTTCCTTTTAGTTTAGTGGTTTTGAGGGCCCAGGATATTTTCCTTTCACAGTACTTTTACTGTTATCCAGGGTTATGATATGGTCCTCCTTCCCTTCTGAATCTACACACCCTCCATAATTCATTTCTTTGATTCTTAGGATTCAGCTTCAAATTCTAACATATACAGAACCATCATTTTTTTTCTGAGTTTCAGATCTACTTATCTCTCTGGCCACTGAATGGTATCATTTGAAAGTTTTTAAGCCTTTAAAACTCAATATGTCAAAAAAATTGTTATGTTATACCACATACAAGGTTGTCCCCATCTGTGGCTGCTTTCTCAGAGAATAATACCAACAGGTCAAGGCAGATATATGGGCGCTTTCCTTAGTAACTCCTGCCCATTTTCTCAATCATTGCCTGCTTCCAATAGCCAAGACCTACCATTTCTCCTTTCTAAATAACTCTCACATGAAGTGTTAAGAAGCCGTAGTCCATAGGTGCTAAGAGTTCTTCTCTCTTGAAGAGACTTCCTGGCTTTGAATCATGGTTCTGTCACTTACTACCTTAATCTCTCCTTGGTTGAAACCTCATTGTAAAATGGGGCCCATGAAGCACATTTAATTTAAAAGTGTTTTTGTGGGTTATTAAAATCAAATTCTTGGAACAGTGCATGGTAGATGATAAGCACTTTATGAATCTTAATTATCCTTTTAATTTTTTTCTTCTGTCAATTCCCATTGGAATCTTTCTAGATACTATCTTCATCCTTTCTCAAGTGCTATCTTACAATAACTTCTCTAAAAGTTACTGGTATTCAAAGTTCTTGTCTGGTTCCTTCCATCCAGACCTCATACAAAAGTCAAAATAGGTTTGTTGTATTAGTAAGAACCACTATGACCCCATCCACCACCCCTGTGGTTGCTAGGAGTATAAATTCTAGACTCCTAAAGTTCAAGTCCCAGTTTCTTAATATAGTTGCCCCCGTGTTGTATTATGTATCCTCTAATTACCTTTTCCACTTCATTATGGACCACCTCTTCCCTTGCTTACTGTATTCCAGTTCTTTGAATCATTCATGTTCTTTCTTATCTCTGGGTTGACTATTACCCTTCCTGGAATACTCTTTCCACCCTATCAACCCTCCATGCTAGTACTGCCACTCTTTCCAATTATGCTACTCTAGTATGTTTCAGTTTTACCCAGTTCTTCCTTATTGTAGCATCTTTGGTATGCAGAATAATTGATAATTTTCTAGTGTGTAAAATATCCCAGGAGATACTGTTATCTCTAATAGGACAAAAATGAGTGGTTGGTACAGGGTAATACTTAATAAACACTAGCTTAATGAATCAATACATTTTAACTAAAAGCTGCCAGCCTTTTTTTTTTTTTTTTTTTTTTTGCATTTGGAAAAGAGAAAAAGCATACTCTCACTATCTATGTTTTAGTCACCTCAATCTTTGAAGACAGAAATGTTTTGCCCTAACTGAATCTCTTATTTTGTCTAAAATTTTCCAGTTTATTCATCAATTCTGTTATGACTTCCAACATCTTAATATCCTACTACTCAACCAACTCCGGGTAAATTTCACAGTGCTAACAAACACTGTGTCCCAATCTTAGTCAAACCATTATAAAATACTGATAATTCTGATCCTCTGCTCATATAGGAATTGGTGTTCTGTGTGTTGCTTACTCTGGTCACAAGCTCTGAACGCTTCCAGAAACTTGCATTGGTAAATGTTAGAACTTTACACGGACACTAAAAGATACCATTTCTCTTTCTTAGGTGGCCCTTCATCAGACACACAATGTGTTCCTAAATGTATTTTGGGGAAAACTAACTCCACAGGTTCCCAATAGCATTCATTTAAATGAAGAATATGACACAATCAAATAAAATTGGGAAATGCTGAATTAAAATAGCTTCTTTACTACAGAAATTCACAAAGCTTTGAATATATTAATGAGTACTGAGACTACCTGAGCTGGTGGATAAAATATGAAGCTTTTCCCTTAGCTTGACTTGACCTTTGACCCCTTCTTGTGCAGAGTACGTTTTGGGACTAGTGCAAAACCAGCTTGTGAAATGCTTTTTCTAAGCAATAGATCTACTTGAAAACATTGACATTCTGTAGAAAACTTAGTTAATTTAAATCTTCTATGATCTTACTAAGAACTATTTTAATACCCCATGTGTCTAAAACAGAAAAGCAAGCCATATAGTCTTTCCTCATAAACTCATTTGGAGTTCAGACCTACCCATAATTCCAGCAAATCTTTCCTTCAAGCATTCATTTGCTAGAGTAACCTGGCTAATTTTATTATGTACTTTTTCTTCTTAAAATCAGTTGGCTCACTCTCATAGATATCTTGCAGCTATTTGTTTGTGTGTGTGTTTATGCATTCTTGGCTGCTATAGACAGAATTGTGTCTCCCTAAAACTCATATGTTAAAGGTCCTCACTTCCAAAGTGACTGTGTTTGGAGATAGGGTCTAGAAGGGGGCAGTTACAGTTAAATGAAGTCATAAGAGTGAAGAATTGATTTGATAGGATTAATTTCCTTATAAGTGGAGATACCAAAGAGATTGCACTCTCTCTCTACCTTATAAGGACACAGAGAAAGGGGAGCTGTCTGCAAACAAGGTAGAAAGCCAAAACCTCCTGGGAGCTTGATCTTGAACTTTACAGCCTCCAAACTATAAAGAAAATATATTTCTAAATATATTTCTATTGTTTAAGATTATGGCATTTTGTTATGAAAGTCAGAGTAGACTAATATAACTACCTAATTAATCCTCACATCAGTTATCCTCAGTTGTATTTCCTCCTTTAACTAAAAACAAGTGAATATCACCCAGAAGGGTTATAGCCAAACTCAAGAATTTGGATGTTTTGATTCCAAGGATTTGTTATGACATAGTTCTTCCATTATTTTCAGTAGAACAGTTTTCTTAACTAGTACAAAGTCTGAGCTCATGTCTAACCTCATTTTTATTCTTATGTCATTTTGAAAAGGAAACAATAATGAATAAAGTAAGTCTAAAATTTATTCTAACACTATAATCAATTTCCTGGTTTCTATAGGGAAATAACTATGACAGGATTAGCCAACGTTTGTGCTGGTCTTTCTTTCTTCCCTTCCGGCAAGCATTACTATTACCTGTCTGAGGGGCACCTCTGGCCCAGAAAGCAGATGAATGATTGACATCACACAAGCCCAGTGACTTACCAGGAACTTGTTAACTCAGAAAATAAAGGCCCTCCACATTTTCATGCACTTTTTGGTGATTTGTTTTGATTTTAAAATGCCTTACACTTTAGAAACAATGAGTCTAATCTCCATTGGAACAAGAATGTTGTCTATGGAGAGATCTACTTCTCATTCACGATATCAAATTTTCATCATTTTAATTATTCATTTTCATTTAATTCAGGTGTATTTGACATTTACTTTATTGTTAGAGAGATTAAAATATATTGTCTTTGATTTAAAAAATCCACATGCATCTCAGAAATAGGTGTACATTGTATCATTTGTAAATGTAGAAATAGTTATCTGCAAAGGTACATGCTTTTCTTGATGGCCAAAGAAAGAACATTCCTTAAATTAACATTTCCCAAATGAGTTCTGCAGAAAGTTAGTTCTGCAGGATTTTTTTTAGATATTAAATTAAGGAAGGATATTGTAGTTTAATATGTTTAGAAAACTCCAGGTTAAACAAAGTTAAATGGGTTTCTTGACTGCAGTATATCTGATATTGTTTAAATGTTAAATTGCCTTGTGAGTTTCCAAAGGGAGCATATCATATGCAATATTTTCTGAATTTAATTTGATCGTATAAACCTCTTTTGTTGTTGTTACTGCTGCTGATGTTTATTTTTCACTACTTTGCTTTTACAGAGAGCATAGTCTGTTAGTGTTACACAGCATGTTTTAGAAAATGCTCTTTATGTAAAGGTACGAGTCTTTCATATTGCGTGGACATATAAAACTACTACCTGTTTTAAACTCATTCTTATTTTAAAGATTAATTGAACATTAAATTTTAAGCGAACATTAAATGTAAATTTTGAGTCTTCATACAGAGTCATCAACCTAAACAGATAGAAGTATCTACACTCTATGGCAGTGGTTCTTAAAGTGTAGTCCACACACAGCAGCCTCAGCATCACCTGGGGACTTAGAAAGACATTCTCAGACCCCATATCAGACCTGAATCAGTCATGCTGGGGTTAGGTCCGCCAATCTGTGAGTAGAGGTACAATAAGATTTGAAGTTAAACCGCAGTTACACCTAAACATATACCGATCAGGCCTCGTTCTAAGCTATTTCTTTATTTCATTTTAGAATCAGTAAAGCAAACTCAGCATTACAAAGAATATTTATGAAAAAAAGTTTATCAGAATGTTTGGATAACTGATTGTTCCAATCTGTATTCTGTCACATTCACAATTGCCTTTAGGCATGGTTTTAATGCCCTTGCTCTATAAATACTCCATGAGACTCCTCAACTTTGAAATTACAATCTGCATAGCCTTCAGAAGTTCAATAAACACTATAGTGTAAAATCAAATTACTAATTAGAATAGTCTTGAAATAAAGCATAACTTTCTTTAAGAGGGCTCTTTAACACTTCAACGTAAAAAATAAGTAGAATCAACATAATTCCTGACTTCTAGAAGAAAGTGAAAAAATCTTTGTATTAGCTAGGGTCACAATTCACAGTTACACTCTTCCATGTTAAGGAAGAAGGATTCTGGGGCAATCAGTTTGCATAGCAAAGCACAAAAATTAACAAAAAAAGGGATGAAAGTGACCTCCATAGACAAGTTTGTTCCCTATCATTTATAGGCCCAGAAGATAATTTATCCTAAGTGTTGACTAACAGAAGTTTTTCATCCTCCTTGGTTACACCAGGGTTGTGGGAAAAATAATTGACTTTTGGGCTTAAGTGATGAATAATCCTATTTTCTTCTTAAGCCTTTTGTTGAAATACCACTACACACACACACACACACACACACACACACACACACTGTTTTATCTGAAAACTTGCTTGACCCTTCAGACAATATCAAACCGGAATTTTTCAGCTGAGGACTTTTCCAAGCCTACTAAAGTAATTTGGTTTGAGTTTTTGTTTGTTTGCTTGTTTTAATCATAGATTTCTGGAGCTCAGTGTAAACTTTTTCTAGCATATGTAAATTACATTTTAAATAAGTTCTTTGAAATTTTCATATAAATAGGACACAACATTTTTTATAATGCTATCTGTTTTGCTAGTAGTTCACTTATTTCATATTAACCTTGAGGCAACTGTTGGCAAAATATGGCAGTTTTAAATAACATGAAGATTCTTATCTATTTATGACTTTTTTGGTTATAAGAAACAGAACTAAAACTGAAGCTGACATCAGCCAAATTTGATCGAGATTTTTCATATGTGACCTCTCATAAATCAACTCTGGAAGGGGTGGTGTGGTGGATATGGTATATGGGGGACACTGGATAGATAGAGAAGATCAGAAGGATTAAGAGAATCCTTGTAATTTGGAAAGACCCCCACCAAAAAAATCCTTGTAATTTGGGAAGACATATTCCAAATGTATTGAATAGTTTCCGAAAACAAAATCATAATGCCAAAGAATTATCTTTAATTTTTAAACTTACGATAAATTGATTCAACTTGAATGGTTAAGAAAACACATGTAACCCAAAATATAATATTAAGAGGAAAGATACCAGAATTCAACAGCAATAGCCCTGTGTTCCAACATGAAAAAAACTTCCCTCGATTGAGTTTTCCTTTAATGTGACATACTATTTGTATCATTTGGGATAGAATATAACTTCAAGCCTTATTTAAAGTGGTAGTAGAACAGAACTTCTCTGAGGGAGAAAAAACAAAACATGTGCAGTAATACTCTGTGCTAGTTTGCTGTGATGTGATGGTATTTACAAGGCTCTTTTATTATTAATTTAGCAGAATTTGGAATTAAATGTATGGCAGCTATTAACTTGGTTCTGGAACACTCAGCAGGGCCACTATAAGTGAGCAGGCCTTAAAATATGAAACTTGTCCAAATAAAGGGTGACGTAAATTTTGTTGCATAATTTATTTTTAAAAATAAAACTAAGCAAATTACACAAGTGGACACATTAGGAGAATGTCCACAGTTAAAGAATTGCTAAGATGTAGCATTATAACACGAAATAATTTATGATAAAATGTCTCAACTGATGTGCATGCAGTGATCTCCTTTGTTAAAAAATGGGTGATGCTATCCATCTTCCTCCTAGATACTAACAAATTTCCACATAGTTCTTTCACTTCTATAAGATCTGACAACCTATACCCCTTCCATGGATACTTACTTTTTCTCATATTGTTATATAATTTTATTAGAGTAAGGTTACATGTCTCTGAAAATATTGTGAAATGTATTGGGGCATGTATTAGTCCATTCTCATGCTGCTAATAAAGGCATACCTAAGACTGTTTAATTTATAAAGAAAAGAATTTTAATTGACTCACAGTTCAGCATGGCTGGGGAGGCCGCAGGAAACTTACAATCATGGCAGAAAGGGAAGCAAACACGTCCTTCTTCACATGGCTGGAGCAAGGAGAAGTATGAGAACCAAGCTAAGGGGGAAGCCCCTCATAAAACTATCAGACCTTGTAAGAACTTACTATGACCAGAACAGCACAGGAGTAACCACCCCCATGATTCAGTTACCTCCCACTGGGTCCCTCCCACAACATGTGGGGATTATGGGAACTACAATTAAAGATGAGATTTAGGTGGGGACACAGACAAACCATATCAGGCATAAACCACATCTTATATTCCTTTTCTACACTTCATAGGGCCTTCCTATCTGACCATGGTACGCACAGAAAACACTTGATAGATACCAACTGATTCTTATTGAAGTACCCTGATATAGATTAGAAGCATTCCACAATATATAGATAAAGCACTCAGCATTAGGTGGGCTGTGGTATACCAACCACAAAATAATATGTTTATTTTTCAATATTTTTTTCTTTTATTGATAAAAACTACACAAAAGCTAATTGATAATTAATTTAAAAAGCAATGTTACACATTATCTTGTGTTTAGAAATGCATCAGCTTGGCAGTTCCATTCATCGAGCCCATGGTCATGGCTCTCTTATAACCTTAGTCCATGTGAGAATAATTCTGCTTGTCTTCTCATTCAGCGATCTTCATGGCTCTCTCAGACATCCTACACGGTGAGGGCTGCCAATGGGACAAAACAAAACTCCTTCTATCATGTCCCATATATGGCATTTGTCATGAAGGATCATTCACCCAGACTTATTGGGTTTTCCAGTAGTTTTGTCAAACTTTGTGGTCTTTGTGGTCGACTTTCTCTGTGGTCCGTGGTAAAGCACATTTTCTTTTGGTACAACATAAGCTTTAATGCTCATGTTTTGTATTAGAAACTTGATCAGGAAAGAAAAAATAATAAAATAAACAAAACAAGAACAGAGAGCATTTTTAAAGAAAAAATAAATGAAAGCAATTTAAATAAAATCTGTGAGAGTTACACACACCTAAAGAGGAAAACTGTTGTTTCCCTAGCTCCCCACCCACCCCTGTTTATTTACTCCCCTGTGGTTCTCCAGCCCAGGAACCATGCAGTGTAGAAAAATCAAATATACAAACAAACCTATATGTAGCTAGGGTGAAATCTATTTTTATAAGAACTTGACACTCTTATTATTTACATCCGGGAGCATTTTTGTTTGTTCGTTTTATATTTTAAAGCAAAGAAAGTTCTGCAGTCCTCCCGGTAATGCTGCAGGTGCATTCGCTGCTTTCTTGAAGCAGTTTTGTTTGTTTTTTCTTTTTCTTTTCTCTATGCCATAAATGTTTCAACAGGAACGATGAGCTTGCTCGATTGCACGATTGTGGACACCCATTCTCCTTTAAGATGAAGGCCCTCCCTCCCCCCATGGAGCTCCCCAGTGAGGAGTTGGCTTCAGCGTTAGTTTGCAATTCTCTCAAGGTAGATGGTTGGTGCCGCCGACCTGGCGATGGTCGCGATGAAGCTGTGGTCTCGCCCCAGCTCCAGGCCGGGGTTTTCGTCCAGGTCTGGAGACACTGTCTCATAGCCCTTGGTGACATGGAGTGGCTGGTGGGCCTGGCAGTACCCCATCACAGGTTGGTCATAGCTGTAATATGGCAAGGGCTTCACGTGATGTGGTATCTAGATATGAGAAATAGAAAGATTGGTTGATTATAAAGTTGCTTTGGAAAGATAGGACAACACTCATCAGATTGTATTTTTGTTCTCTTTCATGCTGTTTCAAGTCATCAGCTACAGATTCAATTACAAATAAACATTAACAAAATCATGATTACTATTTAACTCAGTATTGTTTTGTCAGCATATTATGTGTATATACTTCGTACATAAAACAATATCTTCCAACTTTTCATTGCTCTAGCTAGCTAGCTAGCCATTGCAATAACAGAAAGTTAGAAACAACCTAAATGCCCAAGGAATTTTAAAATTGATTATGTAGATCCTATATTTGAATGTAGATCTTAACAATGTAGGGGAGGATCTATCTGTTGTAATATGGCAAGATATGGTACTAAGTGGAAAAAAAATTAAGATGCAAAAGAATGTATGGCATGTTCTATTTTGTGTAAATAAATATATTTACACTTTTATATGTATATAAACATATATATATAACTTTTTATTTGATATCTATACACAATTGAAATCTTTACTATCATATGTAACTTTTATTTAGTTTTAAAAAATAATCACAATTTCCCATATATTAATTCTAACACTTTGTCACATATCAACACTGGACCAAAGAACTCTGGAATCATGGGAGAAGACACATCTTTATGTTCATAATATGTAATGTCATTATTGGTTTTCAAGGTAACAAGCTAAATGTATGTCTAATGTTAGCATAATAGACTTGAGTAATGGTCTGCAGAAATTCCTTTAATATAAAAAGCAGAAAATATCAGTTATAATAATTTTGAAGTTTGGTGGAGCTTTTTATTAAACCACACATTTCTGATAAAGATAAATGTATTCTAAATTTAGAAAAAAGCAAATGAGGCTTGCTTACTTCTTGCTCTCATGTTAGAATATTTCTCTTACTTGTGAGATACAATTTGACACTCTTGAACAATCCACAGATGAGAGAAGTGCAAAGGCTCCATTGCCCTGTAAGTTTAGATATTGTGGCAGTTTTTAAACTATTGACTCTCAGCTCTAACTTCCCTTCTGTGGTTGCTTTTAGGATGCTGAGGTTGGGACTTTGCAAACCATGTATCTGTTTTACTAGTGGTTTCCTGTTAGGCTTTGCCAATGGAGGGAGATGGCAAGGCTTGGCAGGGAGAGGGAATTGCTCCCATTGTTGGTTTCCTCTTTTGTTTCTCCCTGCTCCAGGAATTTATCGTAATGGCACGTCTTCATTCTGGCTATATCAATTTATTCCCATAGCAGCAGGTGCTGCCTCTTTGTAGTATTTCCAACACTTGCAGTACATCAACACTTGCAGTACATCAACACTTGCAGTACATCCAACATTTGATCTCATCAAGTCCTCCTCAGAGACACCAACACTAGCACCAGAGGGGTTTGAGGTTCATCACCACAAAGCCTCTCCTCCAAGCTTTTAAGTCTTAATGATCTTCCTTTTGTTGCCTCAGCCCGGAAGACGGTAGGGGTGGTAGCTACTTCCTAACATTGCTGTTTCTGTGATACCATGGCAATATCTTAGCCTTCGCATAAATTTGGTTAATAACTCTATATCCAGTTAGCATCCTTTCTAAAAATTCTTTCTTAAAATAACTGATATTGTGTCAGGCTCCCAACTGGACTATGTTTGAATTCTTCTGTATCTAAAAGTGCAGAAATTAAGTTGTTTTGATTTTATAATTCACTAGAGTTAACCGCCAGAGGTCTTATGGCTCCCTATACTGCAAGGAGTTAACCAGTCTTAAATATAATTTAGCAAACTTATTTTTAGAAGTCATTCCTCTGTTTACTATGCAAGTTCCTCAAATGCTCTTAAAACTAGCTCTAGTATTTTCTTGCTGGTATTTTTATTAATGTGATTAATACAACTTTGACACAAGTTCACGATCTATTTGATGAGAATTATGTTTTTAACACCTCTCTGCTTATTAAGATGAAAGTCACCTCCTCACAGTTTTTAAAACTTAGATTAAAGCAATGTTTTCTATGGGCAATTGCAACTCATTAGTAGGTTATGAAATCAATTTTGTGAATCCAAATAAGCATTACAAAAAATTAAATTAGCTAGAATAGAAAGTATCAGAGTATAGAGTAAAGATAAGTTGTTCATAAGAGTTTTGTCTGAAATTTACCTGTGGGAACATCAATGTGTGTACTGGGTCACATTTTGAATTTTGAAAATTGGGAATCATAGTAGAACATGCTTTTGAAAAAATACTTGATCAAAGCACATATTCAGATTACAATTTATTTTACAGGGACTGACAATAGCCTAAATTCTGTTTTTATTATTCATTTCTATTAACTCGCATAATTCACTGCTTTTCACAATGAATTGGAAAATTAAATTAATATGTAATGCTTTGTTTCTGATTTGTTGTTGTTTTACTTCTAAAGGAGGGTAAAAACTATTTTCAGGAAGTCTTTTATGAAATAGTAACAAGAGAATTTCTCATCAAACAAGTTATTGATAAAATCTTGAATATACCATTCTATTCTTTAAAAAGGAGAATTGTAAAAAATACATACTAGGTCAGAGTTGTGATTGATGAAGTGATGTTTTAAAAGTTGAACCTTGATTTCTGTGCTGACAGAGAGAGCTAGGAAGAGACTGTAAAGTGACATGGCTGAATTACTAGATACTAAATAAAAGTTAGCTCTAATCTACCTCACCCCAAATTGATTGCTTTGTTTTGTTTTTATTATTTCTTATCAGTGAGACCTCTTTCAATCAGTACAGGTTCAGACGTAAAATGTTTGTCAGCAGGATCTATTTTAGGAAACCTCATAGGATTTTTCAGTGTGTCAGATTCCTGGAGATATGTGTGATTGGTGTCGTGGGTCACTTAAACTCCGAGAAAGCATCGAAATGTAAGAAGACACTTTGTGCTGACATTTCAGCAGGGAGAATGTTTTGAAAAAGGACTTCCTAAAAGTAACACAGCCCATTCGTACTCTCTTGTTAATGGGTGAAGTAGCATAACTTGAAAATCACATAAAAAATTCAGCAAATTATTTCCAAATGGAAACAACATTCACTGATTATAGAACATTTGCTCTACGCTTTCACGTAAATAAATGACTGATTTTCTGCAAATTAGCCACATTACTAAAAGACATCAACATGAACATTAAACATGGGTTGCGGTGTTGTTCACTGTCTTGTAGCACTGTCAATGGTCTTCACAAAGAGGAGATACTTGAATTCACACACACATACAGAACAGTGAATGTGAGATGAAATCAGGACCTTAGGGATCTTTTGGCACAACCAGGTGAATCTACAGATGAAAATAAGTAGCTCATAAGTGAACATTGTTGAATTTGCAATGTTTACTTAAAGCCTTTTAATTTAAACTATAGTGGGAGAGAACAATTTCATAGCTAATAAATCATGGTATTTGTCTTCGAATTAAGTTGACTTAAAAGTCAAGGGACCTGCATTAACTGCAAAGCTTTAGGTTTACATATTACACCATTTCTGAACTGAGAAAATTTGTTTTGCTATTACAATTGTAGTTTATTTTTTTACGGCACACAAAAAAAGGGGGGGCTCATGTCATATTCTCTATTGTAATTGAGACAGGCTTAAAACCTCTTGGAGAGTAAAAACCATTGTAAACTTCCCTCCTGCACAACAGACCAATAGCACGAATTCAAAAGCCAAGTGCATTGGCAAGCTTTGAAAGAGCATCTGAAATGTTTGCTCTTTTACTCTTCAAGTCTGTTCTGTAGGGCACTACGTAATCAACTGAATTCCTGGGTTCTGAAGAGATTAGAGGCTGAGGTCTTGTACTTTATAGTAATAGTGTACAGTACATTAACCACCTGGGTCCCTGTGTGTGTCATTGTTTCCTTTCCAGTAGTCAAAACAAAGTATCCTTAAGTTTTGCTTAATTCAGATTTGGTATTTTTGTAAATGTGTTCTCAGAGCCTCTTCAAATGGTTCTGTGTTCCATCAGCTCTCTGATGAGCTCCACTCTGTAGCACAGCAGAACAACACTATTTAAAGATGTCCTCGTTAGCACACTTGACTGCTCGTTGACTGCATTGGAAGCTGTACTTTATTTACAGATAATGGGTGTGGAGCATAGAATTTTAAAAACACATAGAGAAATATATTCTACTATCCTGAAATTCTGCCATTTGATACTCTGAAGTATATGAGCACTTTAACATAAATAACATTAAATTTTTCTTTCATGCAGGGATAGTTTAAATCTGAAGTAGGTTGTGAAAAGGAGGAACCATTATGACTAATTATAAGTCACTTTAATCCTTTTGAGTTTCAAGTAACTCCTCTGAAAATAGGGATAATAGTGACAACTCATTGACCTCTATAAATTTCAGAAAGTGCTGACAGTATTCCCTGATACTGAAAAAAGAAGGAATACACTGAAAGGACATAGTCACACTCTGGTTTTACTCAACACTGACAGTGTCTTTCTTGAAAGGTGACATGTCTTTTGTCTTACAGTTTCCATTTAGAGAGATGCTAGCACATGATGGCTCACAGATTGGCTCATTAACAAGCCCTTCAGTCCTATTTTCTGTGCTAAGAAGCTTAGAAACTTTTGTGTATGTTCTGGTTTTCCAAAAACTTCATTTCTCATTTGGCCAGAGTATTTTTTTCTTCAAATACAATGAAGAAAGTTAAAAGTGACACATTTTTTTTCAATTATACGGGTTCATAGTGTTAATGATTCAAAAAGAGAAGTCAGGGGGAGAGCGTATTTTTCAATGTTGGGAGGCAGGATAATTATAGAGGACTATGTGGAGTTTCACAATCTGAAAATTGATTCAGATCCCATAATTCTACATCTATCATCATTATATTTAAAGTGAGAAATGAACGTGTCTGTGTAGTAAATGTGAGAACAATGTGAAATGGACTCTTGATATATATGATCATGAAAGGCTTTTGAAGTTCAGTTTTGCTATGAGCATGCAATTCCAATATTGTGACCCTCTTT